GTTCATGTTGCTCTGTTCTCTAGAGTTACTTCTTGTCTTAGTTCAGGTACTCCTTCAGAGGCTGCATCTTCAAAATCCTCCCAAATATAGAGACACCACCATTACGGAGTATGCAAAGTTCTACAGATCCAAAGGATTCGATGGTACCTCTGGATTACTCTATCTCAAGATCTGAGAATATCACTTGTCTAATAAAGGTGCTTGGGACTTTGATTTCCTCGCTGTAATAACTTCTTCTTTAATATATCTCTGTCAAAGCCACTGGGCTAGAACTGTCACAGGCCGTTGTTTTTTCTATCATGTAGAGTCACTTAAAAGGATTCTTCGAAGTTTTAAAAAGGTTTATCTCCTGGTTAATTAGAAAATCAATATTCGTTCTAGACAGATGTGTCATATGTGATTGCTATTTGTTTTAACCTGAATGAATATAACTTACTAAATTTCTAAAGCCATAAAAGCAATATTGCTACAACTTCAATTTGTAAAGATAAGAAAAAAATCATGCAGTTTTGAAATCAAGTGTTCCTATTTAATATATTTTCTAGAATAATTTGAGGTAACATGATTATTTGATAGTTCTTGTGATTGAAATTTGTAATTTTTTACATTGTTTCTCTCTTGCATTAACTGGTTTTTGAGATACATAAGAAAATTAATGTTTTGACTTTCTTACCCAAGATGACATGTTCAAAGATGCACATGTATACATCATAGTAAAATGCAAAGTAACCTATCTTATCATTTGTATAATAAAATGCTTGTGATATATATACCTTTTTTTCTATCAACTTTATCTCTTATCAATGGTCCCATCTTGGAACACAAGAAACACGAGTAATATATACCTTTTGTTTTGTGGGTTAGGTAAAGTGTCGGTGGGTGCTTATGTTATATATGATTGTATCAGATTGCTCTATCTGTCTTTATGAGAGACAAAAACGATGGAGACGAAGAAGATTGCTTCATTTGATCGTGCCAGTGAGCTTAAAGCTTTCGATGAGAGCAAGACTGGTGTGAAAGGACTCGTTGACGCTGGAATCTCACAGATTCCACGCATTTTTCATCACTCATCTGTCGAACTAGCAGACCCTAAACCACTTCCCTCGGAGTTGCTACATCTAAAGACGATCCCAACGATCAATCTCGGAGGACGGGTCTTCGAGGACGCGATTAAGCACAAGAACGCGATTGAAGGGATTAGAGAAGCGGCTGCGAAGTGGGGTTTCTTCCAAGTGATTAACCATGGAGTTTCGCTCGATCTTCTTGAGAAGATGAAAGATGGAGTTCGTGACTTTCATGAGCAACCCCCTGAAGTGAGGAAAGAATTGTATAGCCGCGATTTCAACAGAAAGTTTATGTATTTAAGTAACTTCGATCTCTACAGTGCTCCAGCTGCAAATTGGAGAGACACATTCTATTGTTACATGGCTCCAGATCCTCCAAAACCAGAGGATCTGCCAGAGATTTGTAGGTATGAGCCTTGGACCTTGGTCAAAGTTCCAACAAATCTCTTATTTGCCTTAGTTTATGCAAACACCCTCTTAGACACATTCAAACCATGCTTTTGGAAAAGCTTTTGTGAATACGTAAGCAACTTTGGTCGTTTTAATTGTGCAGTAAATCAACTTTAATATCTCTATCCTTTCAGGGATGTTATGATGGAATACTCAAAGCAAGTGATGATTTTGGGTGAATTTCTCTTTGAGCTTTTGTCAGAAGCTCTAGGGCTGAACCCTAATCACCTCAAGGACATGGATTGCCTAAAGGGTTTGCGCATGCTTTGCCATTACTTCCCACCGTGTCCAGAGCCTGACCTAACTTTTGGCACAAGTCCGCACTCCGACAGCTCTTTTCTTACCATCCTCCTTCCAGATCAGATCAAAGGGCTTCAGGTTCTTCGTGAAGGGTACTGGTTCGATGTTCCTCATGTTCCAGGCGCTCTCATCATCAACATCGGAGATCTTTTACAGGCATGTTTACCAATGCTTTCTTTTCCTCAGTTTTGCATTCTATAGATAATCTTCCCTTTAACTCAAAGTTTCTTTTGGGGGTTTGTGATTTTGATGCAGCTTATAACAAACGACAAATTCATCAGTTTGGGGCATCGAGTATTGGCGAACAGAGCCACAAGAGCTCGAGTCTCTGTCGCATGTTTCTTCACCACCCATGTAAAACCCAATCCTAGAGTGTATGGACCCATTAAAGAGCTTGTGTCCGAAGAAAACCCTCCAAAGTACAGAGAGACCACCATTACAAACTACGCTACTTACTTCAATGGCAAAGGACTTGGCGGAACCTCTGCTTTGCTCCATTTTAAAGTATGAAACATGGCGAGCTACTACTTTCTCAAACATATACGACATGACAGTATATGTAACATGTTGGAATTATGTGAACCAAATGTGGAATTTATGGATTATACTACATTGTCATTTCAGTTTGGTCCATATAAGGTGCAATCGGATATGGTTAATCGATTAGATGTCAATATTGGATATGAACAAGTTGGTTATATGCATATACACTAGATTGGATGGGTTGAATTATTAGATGACAATATTTAAGATTGGTTAAATAATGGTTCACTGGTTGGTTAAGTAATGGTCTCTAGATATGTTTGCATGTTTTCATGATTTGGTGTTAGTTCACTGTAATTCATGGATTTAAAGGTCTTGGGATTTTTTCAAGCATGCATAAGATTAGTTGACGTTTTTTGCTTTATCATAAAATCATAAGGTTTTTGAATCATATATCATGCATGTTTCTGGATTAAAAATCACAAGAAAGCATGTTTTTTTTGAAAATAAATTTAGTCTTTAAAGACCATTTGTTGAAAACAATAAAAGTTCCGTACTTAATTCAATTTCAAGATAGTTAGGCGTAGAATACAAGAAAGAAAACAATTTTTTTGAAAGACAAGTGTTGTTTTCTTGTCTGAACAAAACCAACCCAAATATAGAGAGACACCACCATTACTCCATTACAGAGAATGCAAACTTCGTTTTATATATATATATATACTGTATCATTTTGACTAATAAAGTTGCGTGGGAGATTGATTCTCTTAATTCTGTAATAACTTGTTGTTGACTAAAAGACTTGTCTGGTCCGCTCACTGCCACAAGCGGTTGTTTTTGTCTATAAACCTTATCTCTTACCAATGGTTTTGCTGTAGCAACCGGTCACATCTTTGAACTTAAGAAAAATGTTTCATTCTTGTTTTTATAGATTTTTATGTTATGCCTGATTGTATCATATTGTTCTGTTCTTCGAGAAACTAAAACTATGGAGACGACGAAGATTGCTTCTTCATTCGATCGTGCCAGTGAGCTCAAAGCTTTTGATGAGACAAAAACGGGTGTGAAAGGACTCGTCGACTCCGGAATTTCACAGATTCCACGCATCTTCCATCACTCATCTGTCAAACTAGAGAACCCTAAGCCACTTTCCTCGGACTTGCTACATCTCAAGACGATCCCAACGATCGATCTTGGAGGACGGGTTTTCGAGGATGCGAGTAAGCGCAAGAACGCGGTTGAAAGAATTAAAGAAGCATCAGAGAAGTGGGGTTTCTTCCAGGTAATTAACCATGGAGTTCCACTTGATCTTCTTGAGAAGATGAAAGATGGAGTTCGTGGGTTTCACGAGCAATCCCCTGAAGTGAGGAAAGATTTCTACAGTCGCGATTTAACTAGAAAGTTTCAGTATTCAAGTAATTTCGATCTCTATAGTTCTCCAGCTGCAAACTGGAGAGACACGGTTGCTTGTACCATGGCTCCAGATCCTCCGAATCCACAAGATATTCCAGAGATTTGTAGGTATGACTCCATTGCTTTAACTTTATTTGATGTGTAATCTCTATTCATATATGGTGAATTGTTTCAGGGATGTCACGATGGAATATTCAGAGCAAGTGATGAATTTGGGTGAATTTCTCTTTACGCTTTTATCAGAAGCTCTAGGGTTGAACCCTAATCACCTCAATGACATGGATTGCTCTAAGGGTTTGGTCATGCTTTGCCATTACTACCCACCATGTCCAGAGCCTGACCTAACTTTAGGCACAAGTCAGCACGCCGACAATACTTTTCTTACCGTTCTTCTTCCAGATCAGATCGAAGGGCTTCAGGTTCTTCGTGAAGGGTATTGGTTCAATGTTCCTCATGTTCCCGGAGCTCTAATCATCAACATTGGAGATCTTCTACAGGCAAGTTTGCACAACCAATACATTTTTGCTCTGTTTTGCACAAGTATAAATCTTCCTCTTGGTTCAAAGATTTTTTATTGGGATTTTGATGCAGCTTGTAACAAACGACAAGTTCATCAGTTTGGAGCACAGAGTATTGGCGAACAGAGCCACAAGAGCTCGAGTCTCTGTAGCAGGTTTCTTCACCACCGCCATGAGACCGAATCCTACACTGTACGGACCCATTAGAGAGCTTGTGTCTGAAGACAACCCTCCAAAGTACAGAGAGACCACTATTAGAGACTACACTGTTCACTTCAGTGCCAAAGGACTTGACGGAACCTCTGCTTTGCTCCATTTTAAAATATGAAACATGGCCAGCTAGCTTCTACTTTATCACACATATATGACATGATATATATATGTAACATGTTGGATATGTGTGAACCACATGCATGTGGAATTTATGAAATAAAGATTGTTATTTCGGTTTAGTCCAAATAAGGTGTGATTGGTTATGGTGGTTAAAAGATATGTTTCTTTGTAGCTATGATTAAACTATTACAGAGTATGCAAAGTTCTACAGATCCAAAGGATTCGATGGTACCTCTGGATTACTTTATCTCAAGATCTGAGAATGCCATATACTGTATCATTTTGTCTAACAGATGCGTGAGACTAATTTGATTTTTTTCTTTTCTGTAATAACCTCTTGTTAATTACTTAAGTCTGCTCCAGTCACTGTCACAAGCGGTTGTTTTTGTCAAGCAACCTTATCTCTAATCAATGGTTTTGCTGTATCAACTGGTCCAATCTTTGAACTTAAGAAAAAAGTTTCTTTCTTGTTTTTATGGATTCTTAAGTTATGTGGGATTGTATCATATTGTTCTGTTTTTCGAGAAACTAAAACTATGGAGACGACGAAGATTGCTTCTTCATTCGATCGTGCCGGTGAGCTTAAAGCTTTCGATGAAACGAAAACGGGTGTGAAAGGACTCGTTGACGCAGGAGTTTCACAAATTCCGCGCATCTTTCATCATCCATCTGTCAAATTATCAAACCATAAACCACTTTCCTCAGACTTGGTACATCTCAAGACGATCCCAACGATTGATCTAGGAGGAAGGATCGTTGAGGACACGAGCAAGCGCAAGAACGCGATTGAAGGGATTAAAGAAGCAGCAGAGAAGTGGGGTTTCTTCCAGGTGATCAACCATGGAGTTTCGCTTGATCTTCTTGAGAAGATGAAAGATGGAGTTCGTGACTTTCACGAGCAATCCCCTGAAGTGAGGAAAGAATTCTATAGTCGCGATTTCAGCAGAAGGTTTCTGTATTCAAGTAATTTCGATCTCTTCAGTTCTCCAGCTGCAAATTGGAGAGACACTTTCTCTTGTACTATGGCTCCAGATACTCCAAAACCACAGGATCTTCCGGAGATTTGTAGGTATGACTCCATTGCCCTAACTTGATTTCATGTGTACTCTTTGTTCATATGGTGAATCACTAAATTGTTTCAGGGATGTTATGATGGAATACTCAAAGCAAGTGATGATTTTGGGTAAATTTCTCTTTGAGCTTTTATCAGAAGCTCTAGGGTTGGAACCTAATCACCTCAATAACATAGATTGCTCCAAGGGTTTGCTCATGCTCTCCCATTACTACCCACCGTGTCCAGAGCCTGACCTAACTTTTGGCACAAGTCAGCACTCTGACAACTCTTTCCTTACCGTCCTTCTCCCCGATCAGATCGAAGGGCTTCAGGTTCGTCGCGAAGGGTACTGGTTCGATGTTCCTCATGTTCCCGGCGCTCTCATCATCAACATTGGAGATCTTTTACAGGCATGTTTACCAATGCCCTTTTTCCTCAGTTTTGCTTTGTTATAACTAATCTTCCCTACGATTCAAAGTTTTTATTTGTTTTTTCTGGTTTTGATGCAGCTTATAACAAACGACAAATTCATTAGTTTGGAGCATAGAGTATTGGCGAACAGAGCAACAAGAGCTCGAGTGTCCGTCGCATGTTTCTTTACCACCGGAGTAAGACCGAATCCTAGAGTGTACGGACCGATTAGAGAGCTTGTGTCTGAAGAAAACCTTCCAAAGTACAGAGAGACCACCATTAGAGAGTACGCTACTTACTACAATGCCAAAGGACTTGACGGGACCTCTGCTTTGCTCCATTTTAAAATATGAAACATGGTGAGCTACTACTGTCTCACCTATATACGACATGACTATATGTAATAATGCATTTGCAGATTAATATTACTTCAGAAAAAGATCAAAAGAGTGAATGGTGAAAAGAATTCTCAAGAGGTTCATAAAACATCACTGTTGATACTTTATTCTTTAATAAGTATCTTTAAAGCTCCTTAAAGAGCCAGAAACAAGAGTATTTCGTTTGTTCATGAGTAATGATAGCCATATGTAAGTAATACTGTTCTGTACGAAAGCCGAGAGGACTTTCAGAAGGAAACTACCGAGTTTGGTTGCACTGAATGCTGCAGCTGCGATATGTCTGTGTCCCCTTCAACCTCCTCCATCATCACTTCAAGTTTCCTGCACCACAAACATTTATTGGGGTTGCTTCTGTAGTTTTCATCACTTCTCCTTGGGAAATCATTGAGATTTACGGTTCATACCTTTGAGGGAATAAACTCTGACCACCTTCTTCAGAAAGTGCCTTCTCCAGTCTCACTTCAAACGGTGTTGCATGCCAACTCACTTTCTGATCCTGCATAAGTTATAGTTTCTGAACATTAGAGGAGCTGAATGAGCCTAGAAAGCGGAGATGAAAGGCAGGGAATATTACCTCCTTGTATTTGGTTGTCGAATTTGGGATCCCATTTCCATCCCACAATTTGGGTGAAATCTCAGTTTGCTCATTCTCAATCCACTGAGCAGCAACCAATCCAATGATAGGCCTGTCACCGGGGGTTATGGCAGCTACTCCTGGTGTCCTTTCATTCGAAACCGCAATGTTTTCGTTACTGTCTTCGTTGATCTGGTTTAGCCAAGGAGAAAAACTTGCCTCAAACTTAGACAACTTCTCATCAGAGCTTTCTTCCACCTTTTCACCATAAGTTGCTGAAGAGGGTGTTTCACCCTCTATCTGCTCTTCGTAATCTAGGCTCCCATGTGAATCCATGTAGCACTTATATAAGGATGCGTTTTCCATTATATTGGAAACTGAATGCACAAACTGCGACCTGATTCTAGGCCTCCCCCTTCCTGCTGATTCCATGTTTGCAGGATATAAGGTTCCAGGAGTTTGCATCTCATCAGATAGCTTCAAGGGGGTTGGATTAGGCGAGCTCACTGTGAAACAAATTTTGCCACCCATCTCGGGTTTTCTTGAACTGCTATTCTCGGAAGAATTAGAAGAGTGTGATTGATCAAGATCACATTCAAACCGAACGGACTTATTCTTTCCAGCTGTGAACGTTGGCCTAGCAGTTCTATCCAACTCACCCTTGATTGCAGTGCCAACGCTTTCTACTTCAGTACCATCACTAGAAGCAGAAGAGATCCTTGCACTGTCCCGTACATCAATTACACAACTAATATGAAAAAAAGAAAGAGTGAATTCCAGATCCATGAATCCTTAAACATTAGTTAGATGTGAGAATAATGTTAGCATAGAAACCACACCAGTTGTATCAAGAAACCATGCCAATTCTATCAAGCATAGCAAAAGGAGCAAAATGTCTGTTTTATTCACGTAGCGATTTGAACAGATGTTTATTAAACAAAGTAACGTCTACCTGCTAGTTGTTTGCTCTGAAGTGAATGATGGTCTTCCCACCTCTTCACAAGCTTTCATGGGGGTTGAGGATTCAGCCAGATGAGACCCAATCGCAGAGCTACTGGAAATCCATGAGTGAAAATGGGAAGATCCAGAATGTTGAGGACTACTTAGTTTTTGGGATCCTTTCCTAATTTCAATAGGTGTCTCCGGTATAGTACCACAAGCTTTAAGAAACCGTGCCTATGATTCGGAAAAAAGCGTTAGATTCTCAGCATGAACAATCAGATTCTATTGATATGCAAAGAAAGGATGCTCTGATTTCAGAGCTTCCACAACAAAATTACAGACAGTTTCTGAAAAAGAATTCCAGCATTCTAATTAGGAAGAGGGGGAAAAAAGAAGAAGAGGATGAGAAAAGAAAGCTAAAGGCTAGAAAATCTATAGCAACTTGTTATATTAGCAAAACTAAAGACCACCTCAGTAACAAAAGACATAGAACCAATCGTAAGACTCGCAAGAACAAACTCAGGGTTTAAAAATTAGAAGTTGTTTCACTTGCAGCTAAGTTGAGATTTCAAAATCAATCCAAGAGAACAAATCTTGATCATGATAAAAGAACAATACGAATCAGTATGGTTAGAATAACATGATTAGAGGCAATGCTTTGTAATCATACCTCGTCCCTTAGGCCTTTGTCAATATGAATAGAATCCAAATCAAATCTTTCTTTGTCATGGCAAGGCGAGGAAGCTGCTTTCTCTAGAAATCAAGAACAAATTAAACCCTTATAATATTAACAAGCCGATACAGAAAACAAGTAATCATCTCGATTCCTGATACAAACACATCAAAAAGAGATCTACCTTCAGAAAGAAACAAAGCTGACAAATCATTCTGCGAGTCCTGACGTTTCTGAAGATAAATAAGAAAGGAAAAGTTCTGGGTCAGATCGATATGATCTTGATCAAGAAAATCAAAAGAAACGATCAGAAGCCAGCAGATTAAATCCATCATAGACAAAATCCAGCTCAAAGATCAAACAGGGCATTGCGAATTGCGATCTATTTCTTATACGATCATTGACACCAAAATTGACAGGATCATGCATGCGGAAAAAGCAAGAGAAGCGAAAAAATTACTCTGGGATTGGCGAGTGAAGAGTGAGAGACGAGATTACTAGTAGAGCGATTGTCTCTGGCGCGGAAGCAATCGAGAAAGCAAGCCATGGCCCTACAAACAGATAAATCGATGAATCTGAGCACGGATCTGCACAAGGGACTTAGGTTTCGATTCATCAACAAGCGTCTCATATCATTTGATTTCTTCAAGAGCGAAACAGTGAGTGACTGAGAAAACAATCAATCAGGCGGACGATTTTCCCGAGAAACACGCAGAAAATGCCGTTTTTTTGAAATTTGAAACGAAAGGGTGCGAGGGAATGAATCAGGTGTGGTGCAGGTCTTCCCGATCACTGTTTTCTGTTATTTTTTCCTTTTGGCCCAAAAGGCCTAAAAAGCCCAAAATACTCCGAGTTATCCAATAAGGAGTTTTTTTGTTTCTTAAAAATAATTAAATTTATGAAAAAAGGAAAATAGGGCAAGGAGGAGGAGGCGGAGAGCAAAACCGGCACCACTCATCAACGAGCTTCTCTCTGAAAGTGAAAGCTCACACAAGCCGCCGCATAGTAGTCTCTGCTCACAAGTATCGAGAGATATAGAAACCTTAAAAAGCGATGGCGAAGATGAAGAAGAATACGAAGCAAGCTCGTCTCTGCGAAACCACTGGGGCTTGGGCCACCAAGCTCCTTGAGGATTTTCGCGCCTCCGGGAACGATTGTGAGTTTACCTCTTCGACCGGGAATTAAAAAAGTTTCTTCCTTTTTTCTAAATCAAAGTTTCTTCTGCTAACCCTCAGATGAGCTCCAATACTCTCTACTTGCAATGGGTTTTAAGTTATTGTTAGCTTTGGTGATTTCTATCGGAATGTTGCCTTTTTTTTTGTTTGATCGAATGAAAGTGTGTTGGCTTTCTATTTGTGTGTAGCTTACGTCTTTGAGCAGCATCTTACAAATAGCGAACGTGGCATAATTCATCAGATGTGCCGAACTATGGGTATCCGATCAAAAAGTCACGGGTCAGTCACTGCTTAATGCAATTTTGTATGACGTTTGGTGGATATGCAAGTTTTGGGTATCTATCTACTACTTGAGAGCGCGCCCTAGTTTCTGATCCTCTTGGATTCTGCGTAGGACTGGGGAAGAAAGGCGTCTTTCTCTTTTCAAAAGAGATGACATTTCAAAGTCAGACAGCAAGCGTAGGTTTGAAACCAGAAATCAGAAAGGAAGAGAAGGAGATGGCTTGTCAAAGTCATACAGCAAGCATCGGTATGAAACCAAATTTCAGAAAGGAGGCGCTATAAGAAAGTCACAGAAGCTTAAATGTGTGTCATTTCCACCAGAGGCAAAAGCTGTCCTGCATGACTTATTTACTCGCTATCCACCTTGTGATGGCGATACTACAGGAACATCACTGGGTATATATACTGGAAACGTCCACAGTAATTGGAAAGATGACTTCTTCAAGAAACCTCAATTGACAAAAAACGATATTCAAAATAAAGTGGCATCCCTGAGTTCTAGACTGGAAAAAGAAAAACGTTTTAGAGAGGTTAGCAGTTACACGTATTTTCAAAAGATATAATATTCTCTATACAGAATCCAGTTTCAGAAAGTACTAAGCATGCACTGTCGCCTATATAAATATTCTTGTATTTTAATATTGTTACAGATCATTGAAGCACGATCAAAGCTTCCCATCGCATCTTTTCGCGATGCCATTATATCTGCAGTGGAGTCCAATCAGGTTATATGGGTCTTTAGATAATTTATTTGTTCCTCTATATCAGGATTCAGGATTTCCAGTGGGGATTGCCACTGGTTTAGAAAGAGTCTTTATTCATTCGTATTCGAAATGCAGGTTGTTCTTATTGCTGGTGAAACTGGTTGTGGGAAAACTACTCAGGTGCGTTTTTCCTCTTGTTGTTTGTAGTACACTAGAGTCAAAAGCTTCAGTGTTTTTCTCTGTTGCTCTTTATTCTGTATTGGTTTCTTCTGGTGGAGTCAAGTATAGTTATTCATCACAGGTTATGATTTTCTAGGTTCAGCTTGTCAGTTTTCATGTCCAAAGCATTGTAAAAAATCGAGTTTAAGTGTCGTGGAATAAGGGTTTCTGTTCTTGTACATGGTATTACCATATCACTTGGTATTTATAAATTGTATTCTGTTTCAAATAGTAGTTTTTTTTTTTCTTCATTTGTGAGGTTTCTCAGATGCCTCAGTTGTTGATATTTTAGGTGCCTCAATATCTTCTAGATCATATGTGGCATAGTAAGCAAGAAGTGTGCAAAATCATTTGCACCCAACCACGTCGTATCTCAGCTATTTCAGGTTAGTATCTATCTGATTCAACTCTTGTGATGTTTTCAGCCTTGTAATTCAAATGCATGCCATATAAGCAGCTAACTCCTTACTTAATGCCTTCTTTTCCTAATTTGAAGTTTCTGATCGAATATCTTGGGAAAGAGGTGAAACTATTGGGAGAACTGTCGGCTACAAGGTAAGGGGTCTTTGTTCTTAAACATACTTATCCATATTATAGACACACAAGTTCTTAGGGTTACAGGAAAAATCTTCTCTCAATATATCATTGTCTAGGTTCGGCTGCAAAGTGAAGGTGGAAGAGGGTCATCAGTTGTTTTCTGCACGAATGGCATTCTATTGAGGGTGCTTATAGGCAAAGGCGTTAACAGCTGTGTTCCTGATATAACTCACATTATTGTGGTAACACATTCTTGTTTGATTCATAATATGTTTTTCATGTGTTTATTAAGTATGTTTTTCCATTCACTACATGTCCTGGTTCCGCGGCAGGACTAAAATTTTAACTGAAAAAAAAAAAACATTATATTTTTAACAATCACTTTTATCTGCCATCTTGTTTCTGTTTGTTTATCTTAGGTTTTCTTCTTTGTGCTCTTCTGCTGTAAATTGATTTTATAGTTGTCTATATTGGTCACTGACCCGTGTGTCACTTTGTAGGACGAAATCCATGAAAGGGACTCCTACTCTGATTTCATGTTAATGATTTTAAGGTACACTCTCTGGCCCTCTTAAACACTGAGGTGCTCAGCTTGTCAAAATGAACCAAAAAAGTCAAATAGATTTCACGGAAAAAAGTTGATCATATGGCTATTGTTTAATTGGTGTCGCACTATAATTTAGATGCAAAAGCTGCTATACTTGTACACTTGTATTTTGAATTCTTTATTTGAAGCTAAGTGATGAAAACGATAACTACCAGGATATATACTTTTTTAATCTTTGGGTGAGTGGCAGAATTCAGATCAATTTGTGATGTTTTATATTTGCAGGGACTTGCTTCCGTCGAATCCTCATCTCCGACTGGTTGGTTATGTTTTGTTCTTCTCGTCTTCCATTGCTATGATACATTTACAATATAAGAATAAATATTTTCAATGGTAACAGATTCTAATGAGTGCTACTCTTGATGCTGAGAGGTTTTCTGAGTATTTCGGAGGTTGCCCGGTTGTCCGAGTACCTGGATTCACTTATCCAGTTAATTCCTCTCCCTTTGTGTCTCTCTCTATCTATCTCTTTCTAGAATTTGCTTCTTAGTCTCACTGCATTGGAAAACAATATTCTTGCGTCCATATCTACAGGTGAGAACCTTTTTTCTGGAAGATGCGCTCGCTGTCCTGAATTCAGACAAGAATAATCATCTACTTTCTGCTGACTCGAACATACCAAGTGACAAGCGTGATTTTAAAGATGAAGATAAAGTTTCTTTAGATGAAGCAATCGACTTGGCATGGACAAATGATGAGTTTGATTGTCTCATAGATCTAGTTTCATCTGAAGGAAGTCACGAGGCTTACAATTACCAGAACTCAACGACAGGCCTAACACCACTTATGGTCTTTGCTGGAAAGGGCAGGGTTAGCGATGTCTGCAAGCTCCTTTCATTTGGCGCTGACTGTACACTGAAGTCCAAAGAAGGTATAACAGCATTAGTATTAGCTGAAAAGGAGAATCAATTTGAAACTGCTCAAATAATCAGGGAACATGGGGGTAACATCCAGTCCAATTCTCAGCAAGCACAAGACTTACTTGATAAGTATATGGCGACAATCAAACCAGAAGAAGTAGATGTGGGTCTTATAGTGAAGTTAATGAAGAAAATATGCAGCGATTCAGAAGCTGGTGCCATTCTTGTTTTTCTACCAGGGTGGGAGGAAATAAGGAAAACAAAAGAGAAATTACTTGATGATCGCTTTTTTGCAGATAGTGATAAATTCATCATTCTATGTCTTCACTCAAGGGTTCCAGCTGAGGAACAGAAGAAAGTTTTTAATCGCCCCCCTCGTGGTTGTCGCAAAATTGTGCTTGCGACAAATATTGCTGAATCAGCAGTTACCATCGATGATGTGGTTTATGTGATAGATAGCGGTCGGATGAAGGAAAAGAGTTATGATCCCTATAATGATGTGTCAACGCTCCAGTCTTCTTGGGTATCAAAAGCAAATGCAAAACAGAGGGCGGGTCGAGCAGGCCGTTGCCAAGCTGGCATTTGTTATCATCTATATTCTAAACTCCGGGCAGCGTCTTTGTCCGAATATAGAGTTCCTGAAGTTATGAGAATGCCAGTGGATGAACTCTGCTTGCAGGTACTGTTCTTTCTAACATAGATTTGTTCTATGATGTTTAATTGTCATTCATGCATGGTAGCATCCTGTTTGAGACTTCTTGCGTACTTGATTTCTTACTGATGTGCTTCAATAATATGTTCAGGTTAAGATGCTGGATCCGAATTGCAACGTAAATGATTTCCTTCACAAATTGATGGACCCGCCTGTTGCTCAAAGTATTGCAAATGCCTTAATCATCCTTAAAGATATTGGAGCTTTGACTCCTCAAGAAGAGCTGACAGAACTTGGACAGAAATTTGGTCAGCTTCCAGTTCATCCTCGGATTAGCAAGATGATTTATTTCGCCATATTAGTGAACTGTTTGGATCCAGCACTTATTTTGGCATGTGCAGCCGACGAGAAGGATCCGTTTACTATGCCCTTGTCGCCAGGTGATAGAAAAAAGGCTGCTGCCGCAAAACATGAACTTGCATCGCTTTATGGAGACCACAGTGATCATCTTGCCACTGTTGCAGCTTTTCAGTGCTGGAAAAATGCAAAAGAAAGTGGTCAAGCTAAGGAGTTTTGTTCTAAGTACTTCATATCCCAAATTGTCATGAAGAGGCTGGATGATCTGCGTCGCAAGCTTCAGGGAGAACTTAGTAGACATGGGGTCATCCCTAGCAGCTCAAACTGTAGCCTGAATGCTCATGATCCGGGTATTCTCCGTGCTGTTATAGCAGTAGGATTGTACCCTATGTTGGGAAGGATGTGCCCAGTTTCCAAGAATCAGACAAGGTCTGTAGTAGAGACTATTGCTGGAGCCAAAGTTCGTGTGCCCTCGCTATCAAAAAATGTTGACTTGTCCTCTACCAAGTATGACGAAGCTTTAATTGTTTTTGATGAGATCACTCGAGGAGATTGGGGTGTGCAGATAAGAAGCTGCAGTGTTCTTCCCACTATACCTTTGTTACTGTTTTCAAGAGAGATAGCCGTTTCTACTACAGAGAGCTATGATGCTGTTAAGAGTGATGACGAGGAAGACCACGAAGTAGAAAATGTAGGAGACGCAATGGACATAGATAAAGAAGGTGGTAGGCCTGGAGAGAAAATAATGCTTGCGCCGGAAAATTCAGTAAAGGTAGTAGTGGATCGGTGGCTGCCTTTCAAGGTTACAGCTTTTGAAATTGCTCAAATGTATATCTTGAGAGAGAGACTAATGGCGTCCATTTTGTTCAAGGTACATGAGTTATATCACTATGATTTAAGATTTTCATTACTTTATTTTGGCAATGGCATCCTTTTTAACCTTCCATTCGCATTTGTAGGTTAAACATCCAAAGGAAAATTTGCCGCCTCATCTTGGTGCTTCTATGTATGCAATAGCTTCTATTCTCTCATATGATAGCCTCGCACAATCTTCAGTTCAAACCGGAGCTGTGCAACCTATTGCTTCAGTGGTAGATGCAACGAGTCCCAGAGATGATATACCTTCCGCTAACCCCAATGAGCTACGGGAGCATGACCCGAACACTACTCCAATGGGGTCAAAGCTCGAATTAGCCAACAAGTTGGGTTTGGGTAATATGGAAGAGAGCTTGCCTTCAAATTTCGCTGATGGGAATGAGCAACCTGACCCAAACACTTCTCCAGTGGAAGATGTTTCGGTGGCTACAAAACAAAAGAAGATGCAGTCAGAGTCCAAAAGGTGCAAGGCGCTCAACAACATTGATTTGGGGTATATTGAAGAGAATTTTGGGAACATGGAAGAGAATGCTCCTTCTGATCTGGCTAATGGGAATGAGCAAACATTGCCGAAGTCAGCTAGCAACTTGGACATGGGGTTTATGGAAGAGAACACGCCTTCTGATCTGGCGAATGGGAATGAGAAAACAGAGCCTAACTCAGCCAACAGCATGGAGTTGGGGAACATGGAAGAGAACAAGCCTTCTGATTTGGCAAATGGGAATAAGCAAAAAGAGTCTAAGTCAGTCAGCAAGTTGGATCTGGGTAGGGAGAAAGAGAGCATTCCTTCTAATTTCGCTAATGGAAATGAGCAACGTGACCCAAACATTGCTCCAGCTGAAGATGCTTCAGCGGCTAAGCAACCAGAAAAGAAGCGATCAAGGTCCAAAAAGTGCAAATCAGGCAACAACCTGGATTTGGGGAAGATGGAAAAGAGCAAGCCCTCCGATCTGGCAAACGGGAATGAGCAAACAGAGCCCAAGTCAGCCAACAACTTGGATTTAGGGAATATGGAAGAGAACACGCCTTCGGATCTGGCTAATGAGAATGAGCAAACAGTGCTTAAGCTACCTAACAACTCGGATAATGATAACATGGAAGAGAGCTTGCCTTTCAATCTTGCTAATGGTGATGAACAACCTGACCCAACCACTGCTCCAATGGAAGCTGCTTCAGTGGCTAAGCAACCAAAAAAGAAGCGATCAAGGTCGAAAAAGTGCAAATTAGTCAACAACCTGGATTTGGGGAACATGGAAGAGAAGAAGCCTTCTGATATGGCTAATGGGAATGAGCAGAAAGAGGCTAAGTCAGTCAGCAGGTTGGATCCGAGTAAGGATAAAGAGAGCATCCCTTCGAATCTTGTCAGTGGGAATGAGCAACCTGACTCAAACAACACTGCTCCAGTGGCTAAGAAACCAAAAAGGAAAAAGCGCAAATTAGCTAACAACTTCGATTCGGGTAACAATATTGAAGGGAAAATGCCTTCTACTAATGGGGTTGAGCAGCCTGAACTAAACATTTCTCTGACAGAAGCTGCATTAAAGGAGAACAATTAGGAAGCAAAACCAAAAGTCAAGCCAAGAAGGTTACTCGTAAGGACAAACAAGAAGAGAATTATGATGCACATTTCACTTTGGTGTTTTAATGAGCATTTTGGTGTTTGTCATGAAACGAATTTTTGAAGTCGCACCAACCATAATTTTATCTACATAGGTGTAACAGATTCTCAACTTTCAACAATTTTGTTAGATTATTTGTATTCATTCTCATGTAATTGAAAGAAGAAAAAAGGCCACTTTTGATCCAGAACTGCAGTGTCTTTTGACTTTAGTGTGAGCAGAAAAATATTTGCTTCTAGACCAAAATACTAAAATAGATGACTTATGAAACTGACGTGGAACAAGAACAAAGCGTATCTGCCACGTGGCACACTGCAACACCTCAACAGCCTTATCTGGACATCAACAGAGAGATCCTCCAATATCCGAAACCAACCAATCAGGTTCACTCTTGGTTTCATCTCCATACATTAACACACTCCAACAATCCTCAAAAAACACTTTCATAGCTTAATCACACACAAAAAGAAGAGAGAAAGAGAGATATACAGAGAGAGATAATGGCGTACAGTGCCTGTTTCCTACACCAGAGCGCATTGGCTTCCTCAGCCGCACGATCATCATCTTCCTCCTCATCCCAGCGTCACGTGTCACTCTCCAAACCTGTTCAGATCATGTGTAAAGCTCAACAGCCTCATGAAGACGATAACTCCGCCGTCTCCCGTCGTCTTGCTCTCACTCTCCTCGTCGGCGCCGCTGCTGTTGGTTCCAAAGTATCTCCTGCTGATGCCGCCTACGGTGAAGCTGGTGCGAACTTTTTCAAGAAAATCGAATAACCTTGGATCATTTCATTTTCAGACCGAATCTTGAAAACATATTTCTCTGGTTTTTTTTTTCTTGGTTTGTTGCAGCAAATGTGTTTGGGAAGCCAAAGACGAACACAGACTTCTTGCCATACAATGGAGATGGATTCAAAGTGCAGGTGCCAGCAAAATGGAACCCAAGCAAAGAGATTGAGTATCCAGGACAAGTCCTTAGGTACGAAGACAACTTCGATGCTACTAGCAATCTCAATGTCATGGTCACTCCTACTGACAAGAAGTCCATCACTGATTACGGTTCTCCCGAAGAGTTCCTCTCTCAGGTCTTTTACTTTACTCCATTATCTATAAAGATGATGATGTTACAAAATATAATGAAGTGTGAGACTGAGTGGTGATTTTGGGCTTTATGCAGGTTAATTACCTCCTAGGGAAACAAGCTTACTTCGGTGAGACTGCCTCTGAGGTAAACTTCCCATTGTCATTTGTTTGAGTAACCTGAAGCTGACAGAATAGAATATGAGAATCAAACACCGTAGAGAGAACACATTCTCTCCCTCGTTGTCAACTGATAATTGAAACTCTTTTCAACTGATAACCTCGAAAGATTTCTCTAGTTTTGGATGAGTCTTACAAGCAAGATTTTTACCTTATGTGGAGTTGGGTTGTCAGGTCCTAACTGTGTGTGAATCTGACGTTTCTTCCAGGGAGGCTTTGACAACAATGCAGTGGCAACAGCAAACATTCTGGAGTCATCATCTCAGGAAGTTGGTGGGAAACCCTACTATTACTTGTCTGTGTTGACAAGAACGGCTGATGGAGACGAAGGTGGGAAGCATCAGCTGATCACTGCCACTGTGAATGGAGGGAAGCTTTACATCTGCAAAGCACAAGCTGGAGACAAGAGGTGGTTCAAGGGAGCCAGGAAATTTGTCGAGAGCGCAGCCACTTCTTTCAGTGTTGCTTGAGTGAAAGCAACACAACATAACAATGCTCTGCTTGCTTTCTTCATTTGTCTCTTGTAAAAAATGGAAATGAAACTGAGCTTTTGAGAACTATCAAAATGATGTCACCTTTGCGGCTTCACTTGTGTACCTGTGATAACAGACTCGTTTTTCGAATTTCTCAAAAAAAAAAAAAAACTATATTCAATAGATCTTTTTCTCAAATTAAGCTACAGACTAAATCTAAATCCTTGAAAACCTAAAGATAGTGAAGAAAGCCTGCTTGAAGCTGATATGACAAGAGGTGAGAATGAAATGCAGACGAATTAAGACGTCTGACTATAATTAGATCTTTTGAAGCAAGGGCCAAAGGCCCTCTTTCTTTTTTCAATCATTTGTTTGGCTACTGTAAAGTTCTCGAAGAGGCAAAGAGATTTGATTTGCATAGTATTACAACAGTTTACTATCATCTATGTACTACTTTTAATTCATATTGTAACTTTTAAGCTTTACAAATGCTACAAACAGAGTGTTTAAGAGTTCAGAGATACTCAACAGGGAAACCAATGACGGGTTTTATCTCAGAGGCCAGGGTCTGTAGCTCGCTCACTTCATTGTCTGTCAGACTCCAACCTATCGCTCCCGCAAACTCTTTGGCTTGTTCTGCGTTCTTGGCTCCTGGGATGGGTATCACGTTCCCTTGTGCCACCAACCAGTTCAACGCTACCTGCACAGGACAAAACAAACAAAACAAGAAAGGCATATGATTTGATGCAACTCGAGGGTGTCCACTTGGATAGCTTAACATGGATCACACAATTACTCTTTTGTATTTTTCTTAACGTTTTTGGACTTCAACTTTGGGCAGGGAAAAAGAAAAATAGAGTGCAGAAGGAAAAGTGAAAGAACCTGTGTGGGAGTTTTGCTGTAGTTTTCACCAATTTGTTTGATTCTATTCAACAGGGGTTGAAGCTGTAACGTCACAAGTCAAAGTTAGTGAAGAAACCTGGCACTATGACGCTACCTTTTGATAATTTATGTATAGGTATATTGATTGGTGTTGTGTGTTTTGAATAAAAGTGTATACATTGTCTCAAAACAGAACTTACTAAGAAAAAAGCAGGACGAGAGGAGAAAATCGGGAGGTTTATAACAGTGAGATATACAAGTTATCAAAATCCAAAAATCTGTTTCCTAGAAGACTCAGGGTTATTCAGATGTAACTATAGTTTTGCAGACATACACGCCTGTGTTAAAGAACTTAGATATTTTCAGTCAAAGCTATTACCTTTGTTAAAAACTCACGCGTATAAATGCGACCCCGAGGACCTGAGGGTGGGTTCTCTGGGGTGTATTTACCAGTTAGAGCACCTGGAAAAAAAAGACAAAATAACGGAAAATGTATGTGTTCATTGGCCAGGTTGTATAAGAGCCTTATGCAACTTTTCCAGAGAACGATAGACATGACCACAAAGCAAGAGATAAAAGGCAAATCACCTTGAGCGATGGGGGAATATGCAATTAAAGTAACTCCAAGCTCATCACAAGCAGCCTTTACACCAGTCTGCTCTGGAGCTCTGTATATCAGACTGTAGTTGACTTGATTTGAGGCCAGAGGAATTCCTCTTTTTTTGAGTCTTTCATATGCATCTCGTAGCCGCTTCTCTGAAAAATTGCACAACGGTAAGCATAATTAATTTCTTTTCAAGTCTCGATCATCTGTGAGAAAGAAAAAACAGGCTGAAATAATACCGCTGTAGTTAGAAACGCCAACAGCCTTGACAAGTCCTTGTTCAACAGCATCCCCAAGACCATCAAGATATCCTAAAACATAATTCACCATGTCATTGGATATGATATAACTACCAAAAGTGACAAGACTCTTGTTCAAAAGTAGCTTTAGTGCTTGTCATAAGTAAAAACCTTCATTTCCCCATAGTCCCGGCCTGAAATTTAAGACAGCAAATAGTGAGATTGTTTTGATTAGAGTGCTTACTCCAACATGAATTAGGTGTACATACCAATGGAGTTGATAGAGATCTACAGATGAAAGCTCGAGCCGGGAAAGGGAATCTTTAAGGGCAGTGATAACACTTTTACGACCCAATCGCCATGGCAATGCAGCAAACTTGGTTGCAACTGAAATCTCAGCTGCAGGATATCTCTCTTTTCTCTCACGGATAAATCTGTTCAAAATCTCACCAAAGACAGTCAAGAAGAACATGTATGAGGAAATGAGGATCAAAGCACACTAATAGACATGTTTCCAAAAGACAGTGAAAAAGTACCTTCCTAAAAGAGTTTCAGAGCTTATAGCACCCAGAGAAAACTATAAAAGAAGATAATGTGAGGCTTCCAATTAGTTTCAGAAGAAACCACTATACGAAGGAAGACTACCTTGGAACCATAAACTTCAGCGGTATCGAAAAAATCAATACCGTTGTCAAGACTTGTATCAAAAGCACCTTTAGCAGCCTTCAATTTCCTGTCTACCATCATAGAAAAAAGAGAAAAAATTTAATACTTGTTGCTGCTTCTTGATACATGAAAGAGGAGAAAAATTAAAGAATCTAGAAGAAAGAAAAAGAAATTCGTTGTTATAATACTATATATGTATAAAATTGACAATCGAAAATACGTCAGTGAACTGACCATCCCACTGGAAATCATTCCAGTAGCTGTTATCACCCCAAGACCAGACTCCGATCCCAAGCTTCGTCACTTTCAAATCCGACCCACCCAATTTCACTTTTGATTCTTCCGACGTGGCCGGAGCCACTGAATCACCAGAGGCTACAGCTCTGACCAGCTTACGGACGAAACTTCCTCTTCCCCGAGAGCCTTCGGAAACAACATAGTTGAAAGGGAAGGTGAAGTGCGTAGCCATGGCCATGCTGATTCGTTCTTTATTTTTTTTGAAATTGGAAAAAAGAGACGAATAAGAAGAGGTTTGTGGCACTGCGAGAGGTGAGAGACGGTGCTATGGACACGTATGATGTTGGCGGGCCAAACAAATCAAAAACAATTCTTTACTTAATTCAAAAAAAAAAAAAACGAAATTGACATTGGTTTTCTCTTGGGCTTGGTTGGGCCTTTGTTTATCTGCTTTTATAATGGGCCTTTTGGTTTTGTTGTGCTTCTTGTTTCTGACTTTTTTCAAGAATTAGGAACCACAGAAAAAAATATGAGAGGTGAAACTGACATTTTAGCTTACAAAAGATTTGTGAAGAAAATTAAAACATTATCGAACATGAACATGATACTACCGTAAATATTCAATTACTAAGTTATTATCCTCTCCTAGATAAGATAAATTGCACATTTTCTTTTTTTCTCATCATGAAATGGTTTAAAATCATATTCAAAATCGGGGATAGGAGGAAAAGGCGAGGCGGTGGGCGATAGTGAAACCCAAGCGGAGACGCGATTCGCCGCCACTCTTCTCCGACAGGTTGTTGGACGGAAACGGCGAGAGCTCGATCACCGGAGATGATGTCGCCGTTGCGGAAGAGTTGAGGCGAACTTGTTTCAGAGCTTGGATTCGCTTGGCGGAGTTGCTTCTCAGATCTCCACCGCCTTACCTTTGCTCTCTTCGATCTCTTGGTTAGGTTTTGAATCCTGATTCGGCAGTCTGCAGTTTCCCGTTAATCGGGCTTTTGGCTCCGGGAGTTTCCTTTAAACTCGCCGGCTTTGTTTCTGGAGGGGTTTCGACCCTTGCCGGCTTTAAATCTTGTCTTAGGCTGTGTAATAGGTACTGGTTTCAATCTTGAATAACAGAGATAGAATTAGTGAATGCTATCTCAATCAGTTTAGTTTTAGATGTTTAGTCGTGGGTAATTTAGGATGGTTTTAATCTTTGGCTTGGTCTTCATATGAGAATTGGATGTTTTGTTGGCCTTTTTCTAAGGTCTGGTAGTACGTCTTAGACGTTTGGTCCGGATTTTGGGGCTCTCAGTCTCTAGTTCTATATCATTGGTGTAATCAGGTATGGTAACATGGTCTTGCTGTTTGTGGTTTGTTTTGTGGCTTGTGCTTCTCTTGATTGTGGAAGCTCCAGACTAGGTTTATTTGCTTGCTCTGAGTTAGGGAGTTGATCTTCCTTCAGCTTTCCTTCTCGTTGTAGTTGGTGTTTCCCGTCTTGGTTTATTTCGCAGACTCCTCCTTGTTCTCTCGTCTGCGTTACTTGGGTTTGAAATTGAGAAGCGGGTCGTTGAAGTTGTTACCTTCCTTTCAAGCTTTAGGATCTCAATGGTCGAGACTCTTGCAGAAGTTTCGGGTTGATTCAATTGCACTCCTGGCTCTGCCGGTCGCGCGTTAAGTGTAAAGGTTCCTGGGACAGGGGTTAAGTGAGAGATTCGTTCAACCCTCTCTTAGTCTTTTATTTTCTGTTAGAATTTCTGCTAGATTTGCTCCTTCTATTAAGTCCTTGTTAGTTTGTTGCCAATCTTTGATCCTTTCCAGCTTGCTTACGACAGCTTATAAGCTTAGTTTGTTATCTTTTTCAGAACTTGTAATAGGCTTGACTGTTTACTAGTTGTATTGGCTCCATAATCTATAAAGAACACTATTGTGAAAAAAAAAAAAAAAGATAAGATAAATTGCACAAAATATAAATAAATAAGAGTTCCTCTCTCCCACTCAGTAAACGGCAAAAAATAAACTTTGCCATCAATTATCTCTCTTCTAGCACAACAAAATTTGTGTGCAAAAAATCAAATCATCAAATGAAACATCTTTAATAGTTATCACTTTCAAAACCAACCTCATCATCATTTATGGCAATGGTACTATGTAGATTCTTTCTGATAGTTGCAGTGAAAAAAAAAAAAGATTAAAAGAGTTTCAAGATTCTGGTGCGGGAGCTGCGGCTGGAGGTTTCAGGAGAGGCTGTAGCGCCTTCACAACTATGCTCATATTTGGTCTAAACTCAGCTTCGTATTGCACACACAATGCTGCCACTGCTGCTAGCTGCATTATTGCCCACATAACATATTATTTTTTTATCTCTAAGGATTCTGAAATTTGTGATAAAAATTTCAATCTTGTACATGTTCATGGCAAGGAGAGAGGTACCTTAGCAACTGCTTTTGGAGGGTAATCCGCTTTTAGCTTTGGATCAATGCACTGTTTCACTTTATCTTCACTGAGTCTTGGTGTCGCCTGATACAGAGCCAATAACATGACATTGTAAACCCAAGGGGACAAGAACTATGAAAATTTATGGTCCTGAACGTATGTATACTTACCCAGGTTACAAGACTCTGTTGACCTCGAGGCATGGTATGATCCACCGGTTTCCTCCCTGTAAGAAGTTCTAGAAGTACAACCCCAAAGCTGTACACATCACTCTTCTGAGTCAACTGTCCAGTCATTGCATATCTGCATAAGAGGGCGGATTAACATTTTAGCTGTTTATTAGACATTCATAAGCATACAAAACAATAAGGTCTTAAGAAACATTACTCTGGAGCATGATAACCAAAAGTCCCCAAGACTCTTGTTGAGTGAAGACGGGCAGCATTATCGGGTGCTTGATTCGAGAGATTGAAATCAGCAATCTTTGCTTTGTAGTCTTCAAAAAGAAGGACATTGCTAGATCTTATGTCTCTATGGATTACAGGAGGCTGAGACTTCTCATGAAGGTATTCCAAACCCCTAGCTGCCTCAACCGCTATCTTCACCCTCGTTATCCAGTCAAGTGTTGGACCTGGCTGTGCCCCTTGAACTCCCTTTCTACCTATACTCGCACAATAAGCAACCAATCACATGGAAAAAATATTGTTTGGCACAAATAAGAATACTTTTGGTCAAAACAGGGAGTTTATTTAGTCAGAGAATCTTAAAGTCCAAAAAGCTTATCTTACCATGCAAGATGTCATGCAACGACCCCATTGTTGCAAACTCATATGCAAGGACGCGTAGGTTTCCATCAACACAAAAACCAAGCAATTGAATGAGATTTTCATGCTTCAGCCTAGAGACCATGGAAACCTAAGGAAGAGCAAACTATTAATATGACAAGTTGAAAGAGGATGTAAACACAAGCTTCCTTGATAAAATGCATGGATACTGGTACTCATCTCAAGTCATTACAAAGTAAGTGGATTAAGAGAGACGGAAAGAAGTTGAAGAAGATTGATAACCTGACTCAAGAATTCGGCATCTGTTTCAGCTTCAGGCGCGACATCAAGTTTCTTCAGAGCAACCGCTACACCATCATTTAGTGTCGCATAATATACTCTTCCGTAAGACCCTTCACCAATCAGTGCCTTGGATCCAAAATTTTCAGTCTTTTCCTTCACCTCATCCAAAGACAAGGGAGGGACCTCGATCGGAAGAGCTTCCTTCTTCATCTCGTGTTTTGCAACAGGTGCTGGTTTTGGATTCTTATGATTTGCTACATACATGAAGTCAGATACTCAAGACAATAAGCATAAACAGAAAATCAATGTCTAAGATACACAACACGAAGTCATTAGATGTTTAAAGTTTCGACCAAATGTCAACTTATTTCCCTCAGTTGGAAGCTATGATAACTGCTATACAAAGGTGGGCAGGGACGCATCTACTAGTACGTGACCACTACCCCCAGAACATATCCCTCAAAGATAGATGACCGTAGAATACTTGAGTAGCTACTAGGTGGCATCTAGATAACATACCATCAGATTGCTGCTGCGAACTTTTCAGTTGTTGCTCTTCATTTGAGTCTTCTATCTGACATGTACAACAGATCCACTTGCGCATCCTTGTTCACTTCTTCAATATAGATCGCCAACAACCTTTGGCTCCTGAAATAGATAATGTAATTCCAAGTTGATAAAATCAAAAGGATCAAAGAATCTTGATAGCAATTTGATTGAGCAGATAAAAAAATGTAATTCCAAGTTGATAAAATCAAAATTATCAAACAAGGAAAAACACATGATCCCTACATGCAAAATCAAAAAGAAAAAAAGGGACAAATACCTCCGCTACCACCAAATACAGCCAGAAGAATAATCAAGGATCACAATTTACCATCCAAAACCCAGATGAAACGAAATCGAATGGTAAAAACTTGAAATCTAAGAAAGCAAAGATGCGTCAAGGAATAGAACGGCCTTAAGAGCCCATTTCTACGAAATCCAAAATCAGATGCAAACAATAAAAAGAAGAAAAGAGAAATCTTTACCGGTCTAATCTCCCGGAGACACCGACAAAACTCGCTGTCCCTCTCAATCTCTCTAGGATTCGTCGCGTACGATCGTCTCCTCTGCGATGATGATGAGAGAGAGAGAGGGTTGCTTGATGGAGACGAAGGGAGAAAGAAAGGAAGAAGAGAGAAAAGAAAAGAAAAGAAAGTTAACAGCTTTGGCGTTTTTTTTGTAATCTCTAATTTTGCTTTAATTGAACTCTCTCTCTCTCTATCTCTAAGTCTAATCTCACTCTCCTCTCTTTCTGCTTTCTTCTTTCCTAATCTCTTTATTTTTTATTTTTAATCTCTACTTAATTTCCAGATATGAAATACCTTATCACCACCAAATAAAGATATATCGAATTATTATTTACCTGACCAACGAGAATAACAACGAATTGCGAAAATTTTCTTCTCATTTTCCGGGCAATGGTCATTGTTTTTTAGTAACAACATTTGACTCAAGTCTTTCTTTACCAAGTTGGGATTTTATACTATGAAACTAATTATAAGGAAAAGTTAAAAATATTGGTAAAAGATAAGTATAACTAAGAGCATCATCTCCGATGACATTTTAATATCATATAGAGTACATTTTTAATTATTTTGTTGATCATCTTCAATTAAAGTTAGTTTTTTGTATGGCATGCTGCTATAAAATAGTCCATATACCATATTTATATTTATAAATTAAAATATTGGTGAATCATAATATTAAATCCAAGCAACTGTAAAGTGTTCCAATGGCAGAAACCAAAGCATAAACATATAATCCAAAAGAAGCCAGACATAAACAGAGGGGAAGATCTCATGATTAATTTATTAAACAAAAACAAGGGATACATTATTATTATACATTGATCTTCAGGGGTAAATTAGTAATTTTACGAAGATCTCTGTTAATCTCATATATATGTACTACTAAAATCCCGTATAATAATGTGATACAAGTACATGAACAAAAGACAAGCACTGGCTGGCTTTAGCCTTCAGGCTAGGCGGATGATATCCTGACAGCTTATTGGGGCTTCATTCATCAGCTAGTGTTGTCAGGCTATGTGTAATAGCAACCAAACTGTTTCAAGCAAAAAAAACCAGGTCCTGGTTAGGATCCAGACTATATTCGCACAAGCTTTTGATGATTTTTGTCACCATATTTTACCTGGAAAACTATCGTCATGTGTACCCACCTCTATATGGACTGTCTTCTCAGGTAAACAACTACACAAAACGATGAGTGTCCCAATCTACTTACCTTGTGTCTTCCGACAGAACTGGATTCTCAAGCTAAATTTATCCAGGTAGTTTGTTAATGTTTTGAGATCTTCTGGCCCCTGAATATAATATCACCTCAGAAACAAATACTGTGATCTGAGAGAGAAGCTGGGCTCTGCATATCTGATGCATAAGAGATGATTATGGGAAAACTGCAAGAAAATGTGAAAAGAGAAATGCCTTTAGATATAAAATACACAGCATACATAGTTCGATAGAATTTACTCTTACACGTTTTAAACTCTTTACTCATTTATGGGGTTCCCTCATATGCTCCAATGTGGAACTTAGGAGACTGCTGCCATTATAATCAGTGAGAACTTTTATCAAGGACTCAAGAGCTAAAACTATTGGCTTGACCAATCATTAAAGCAGGAAATCTATTGGTCTTTTGGTAAAGATCTTACATACTCTACCAAAGTTATGCTTACCTATATTCAACTCTGTTGAGAGTCTTTAGAAGTATAATTTTAGACATCATGTACAAAGCAGAAACTGCATACATAAACATATGCATGTCACAAATTCAGAGGAAAAAGACACGAATCTAAGTAAATTCTGACTATGTGATCTAAAACCAATGAACTTACATAGAATTTTGGTCCAAAAAACCAATATGCCTCATGTATTATCCATAGCTTTCAACCTTCGAAACTTTCAGGGTTTGACTAGGATGCTCAACATCAGATGCACCTAGTAGCTGAGAAAATCAGAACTAGACATCAGAAACCAATATGCCTAAGTCCCATCAGATGTTTTCTTTTCTTCTATCCACTGAATTTCCTGCAAAATTGAGACAATTTAGCAATGAAATACCAGATACAAGTACCAATCTGCATTACAGTTCACAATGATGGAGAGAAATATATAAACAATATAAACTACCACGTGTAAATGCCTTTTTTTCCACTATATAATTAGCTCTAGTCGAATAAACATAGTTTCAAGAGAACATCACAAAGAAATAAAGCTTGACAAACATTAACGATTACTGCAGTTTCCAAACTCAGAAGAAAGAGTCAAAGAGGACAAACCATATGAGATATGAAATCTAGAAGCAAGAGTGCTTCACTGATCTTGCTGTTTCGGAAAAGTCCCTTGATGAGACTACAAAATGTTTGCATCTCCGGAATGACACCTTTCTTTGACATTTCTGAGAACAACCGAAAAGCCTTGTCCACTTTATTAGCAAGGCAAAGGCTTTCAATTAATGAATTATATGTGCTACTGTAGTCGACCAACGTGGCTGAAAATGTTGCAACCTCTTCAAGAAGCCTAAGAGCCATTTCCAGCCTTTGAGCTTTAATAAGATTATCAACCAAAAGCCTATATAAAGAAAGAAAAGGGGCAGTATCATCCTGGCCTATCTCATCAAGAAGCCCTAGAGACTCTATGAACTCTTTATTGAATCCTTCAATGACTTTGCGATATCCGGCTGCGTGCGTAGGCCAATGTGTCTGTTTCATTTCTTCTAGAAGATTGTGGGCCACATCCAGTGCACCATTTTTGCAACAATGATCTATCAAGACCCTATAAGTAACATAATTTGGAGCAACACCTTTGGAACCCATTCGCTCTAAGAGCTCAAGGCATGTTTCTATTTTACCAATCCTTCCAAATCCATCAATCATCGCTGTATATGTCACAACATTGGGCTGACACCCTTTTTCTTCCATCATTTGCATAAGCTTATAAGCTTCATCAGTTTTACCAACCTTGCATAAGCCATCAATCATCTCAGTGTATATAACCACATTGGGCGCACAGGAATTCTCAAGCATCTTAGACAATACTTTTGAGGCTAAATCTTGGCGCTTGACTTTGAAATAACGATCAATTAGAGAACTGTAAGTATACAAGGTTGCGGGGAATCCATGCTCAGACATCTCAGCTTTCACTTCTTGTGCTTCGTCTAGTTTCCCAACCTTACAGAGTCCATCGATGAGAGCATCATATACAATCTGATTTGGTTCACAACCTTCCATAGACATAGCATCCAACAACTTACGAGCTTCTTCGACCCTATGCAACTTGCAGAAACCATCCAGTAAAGCTCCATATATAACTACATTTGGCCTCTCGCTGTTGTCATCATCATACTGCTTAAAGTACATATCTACATCTGGGACATCTTTGCTGCCACACATTCTTTCAAAAATCTGACAAGCTTTCTCCATTTGTCCAGCTTTGCAATGGCCATCAATTAAGGCAGAATATGTAACAATATTAGGGAGACACCCTTCAGACAGCATCGTTTCAAACAGCTCATTTGCATAACTGACCTTCTTAGCCTTAAGATAAGCATGGATAAGAGCGGTATATGTGACGACGTTAGGTGTACAACCAACCTCTCTCATTTCATTGAACCACTTACGAGCCTGTTCAATTAGACCAGCTTTACAGAAACTATCTACCATAATAGTATACGTGTAGACATCAGCAACAAGGCCACCCCTTTTCATTTCTTCAAATAACAGAAACGCCAACTCCATTTTCGAAGCATTACATAAATAACCAAGGACTTTGGAATAGGTACTGGTATCTGGTATAAAACCCTGACCTATCATTTCACGGATAACACTAAATGCCTTTTCATATTTCCCAGCACTACAAAGACACCGTGTGAAGCTGCTGACATTAATCTTATTCAGAACAACCCCTGTAGCAAGCATTTCACTATAAGCTTTCTCAGCTAATTCCAACAGATGACAACTAAGGGAGTCTTTGTCACCACAAATACTCCCAATCAATATATTGTAGACAACATATCCTGGCGTGTGACCACATTTAACCATTTTCTTTAGCAATTTGTATGCATATGAATGATCTCCTGATGTGCAATAAGCATGTACAAGAGAATTAAAAATCTTGGGACTTGGATAACAACCTTCCATCATCATCATATTAAGCACCCTTTTACACCTACCCAGCTGTTTTTTGTTCAGGCATCCACACAGCAAAGTTGAATATGTTACAACATTTGGAAGGCAGGAAGTAGCTCGCATCCTATTCAGGAAATCCATAGCCTCTTCAAAAAGCGATGCTTCACACAGACCAGATATCAGTTTTGTATAAAAGACAGTATCAGGCACAAAATTTTCCGTTTCCATCAATGTTAGAGCTTCCCTCCACTTTCCTACTTTACAGAGAGAGTAAGCATAGCATCTAAGCGTAAAACCATCCATCCTAAGATTTGCAAGGGACATTTCTCGATGGACCAACGAAGCAGAGTCCAAACAATCAGCCTTGAGAAATGCCTGAATCAAACAATTATAAGTAGATCTCGAAGGTCTAAACCTAAAATCCTTGAGCCTCCCTAACTCCTCAAGTGCAATGCTAAATGACCCACTCCTACAATATTTCCTTACCAACACATTGAGAAATTCCCCAAACACTTCCTTATCATCATCTCTAATCTGTTGCAGGAGTTCTTCGGGAACTTTTTCGTCATCATCGCGTACAATAAGGTCTACCAAAGCGTTATACACAGGTGATGTATGCTTATAACCTATCTGCCTACCTGCCCAAACGAAGAAACTGATAACAGCAGAAGGTCTTTCTATCAAACGCAACACCTCAATCACTAAACTCTCACTCAACTTCTCTCTAAATTGCCTAAGAAACTTCTGGGATTTGCTCCCAAACACATCATCGCCACCAGAAACAGCATCTGCAATGGCTCTAGCATCAATAGAGGATTGAGTAATAATGGGCACTACTTGGTGAAGATCAACATTTCCAGAGTCCAAAAGAGAATCGTGCAAAAAGGAGTACTCTTTAGTCAAATCCACAACTTCCCGCGACTCAATGGGGGAGAAGGGATCGTCGAAACCAAACATTTCATCGGGCGGAGGAGTGGACATAAACCTAGTCGTGAGATAACGGCTACA